GATAACTATGAAGTGGACCTTGTCTTCTGATTGTTCATAACTTGATACCTATAAGCATCATTTATACCCTTTATATGTGCATCAACAAAGGAAAATATTTTAAAAAACATAAATTATTAATATCTGAGTGCTCAGTCACTGAAAGCACTTCTTGATCAAGTAAGTAGGAGAGAACAGAAGAGCTGTGCATGGTTTTATTTTAGATATATTTTTATGTAGTTGGATAACAACTATCATATCTGAAAGGAGCAGGGAGCACCATCTTCTAAAACAGCCTTGGAATCCAACCATGAACAGGGAAGGCACTGTCAGATGCTGGGTTCACTGACTTGAAAGGGAAGTTCACAATTCAATGGAAGAGGCAGCTATGCCAACAACTAGAACATAATACAAAAGAGTTAGTCCAGTCACCTGAAGTCTTCCTTCCTGTCCCCAAGTTCTAGTTTACAGGTATCATTTAGAAATACAGGGGGTGTTTAGAAGTGAAGCTGATGGCTGAGATATTTTGTGTCTAGGGAGTTTTTGAGGTGATTCGAGGAATGGGAAAGAGGAAAGCTTATGGGGCCTTCCAAATTTGTAAAAGGGCTCAAATCATGCATGGAGTCAAAAGGAGGCATCCTCAGGCCTGGGCTGGAAAAGCAGAGAATTCAGAGATTAAGGCTGTCGCCACAGCAAAGAGAGTGCAGAGGCTGAGGCAGGCTCTAAAGACAAAGTGGGTACAGAAAGAAGGAAGAAGAAAGGAATGTGGAGCATCTGAATTTTTGCCTCAGAGTCTAGAATAATGGTGATGCCACTAACTTGGAATCTGGTGTTTCATGTGAAGAAGGACATCTAAGGAGAGACAATCAGGAGGCAGGCGGCCTGCACCTCAAGGGTAACTTCAGGAGAGTCTGCAGGGAGCCTGGTATTTGAAGACATATGCTCACAGGGTCAACAAGTTTGCAAAGAGCCAGGTCTAAATCAGGAACCAGGTGGAGGTCACCCCATATTCACCAGTGATCTCTGGAGAAGAGGTTTGGTCAGTGAATCACAATGATCAGGAAAGAGAGCAGGTTGAGGGTTCACCATCTAAGATGATCTCATAAAGGATTTGAGGCATTTAAAATACCTAAACATCATTTCAACAAATTAGAATCTCAAGCCAAAACAAGGTACTAAAACTGGCCATGCACAAGCACCAGCAAAGACATGACAACTCTGTTCATAAAGAATATGTGTTCACACGGCAAACTACCTGAAATGTGATCTGTGTCAGTGCTGATGTCAAATCATAAATATTCATCAATTCTCCAGTAATCTAAACCATGCTGTTCCAGAGGCACCAATGGAGTTGGTGCCTCTGGAGAGAATGACATCGACAGTTGTGGGATGTGGGATGTGTGCCCATAAATTGGGTCAAGGGCAGCTCTCTTGATCTACTTATGTGAATGTAAGAATAAATTAAAAACATCAGCTCTAGGATGGTTCCATTTGTCTTATTCTTTTAGTTTCTCTCCATCGTTGTCATAGAGCACAAATTGTCCAAAGTTCTTGCAGAATGATGACAGGAAATGTACCAGCTTTGGCAGATTCTAGAATAATAAAAAGTGGCAAATGCAGCCCTACTCTTCTTAGTTGGTCCCTCATTACCTCTCCCACTGGAAGGCAGGACAGAAACTCAAATGTGTTCTCTTTCTGAAATCAGTTCTGTCCATCCTTTTGAAAACTATATTTTTGCATGGTTCCCAAGATGGGTACCTATCTGAACACTACTGCACCCAGGTATACAGAAGCAGGAGGTAGATGGCCACTCCTCACACAACTTGTGCCCACAGTACTGATGTTAACATTAAAAAAAAAAAAAAAAGCCATTGAAAAAGGTTGTGGGATTCAGTGTGTGTTACCCAGTAATTTAGAATAAGCAAAATCAATGCAGACTGACTTCAGGTCCAACACTTCCATTTTATAGTGAGGAGGAAGGTGGTGGTGATGTCTCAATTCCTCATTTTGATTTTTCCACACTCCATGTGGAATAATAATGAGTTTGTCATAGTCATTGTTTCACGTGATAGAACACCACTAGAATCTGAACAAATAAAAAGGTCAGGGCAGCATATTGTAAGGTGTTAGAGTCTGTAAACAAGTCAAAATAACACCTGGCATTTTGCCAGGGGAATGTTGGAGTTCGTAAACAAGTCTGGATGGTGCCTGGCAAAATGCCAGAGGGAGTGGTTTGAGAAGTAACAAAAGCAAGCCATTAAGTGTGGAGATTCCTGATTGGTTGACTGATGTATCTAGTTTATGCTAATTAGATAAGCTCTGTGGAATGTATAAATACTGCTCCTGTCCTGCAATAAACGGCTCCCACTCCTGCTGTATCAACGTTCACAAGTTGTTCGTCACCCCCCGGTTATTTTGCTGCAGCCGGACTGCGGCAGATGGTGGCCTGTTACGGGGAGCCCCGGGACACTCGGGGGTAAGTGACTAAAAAAAGCTGCCCGTCCATAGATAGGACGGGAGCAATCTGCTCGTCCCTAGGCAGATAGGGCGAGAGGAAAAATGGCCATTTCGAGAAAATGGAGAAGATTGATACAGTATGTTTGTGTCTTGTTTTGTCTTGAAATGTTGTATTGTCTTTGTGACGAAAATATGGAAGGGGTGAGAAGTAAATTACTAAGGGAAGAAGGCACCCCAGTGGAACCAAGAATAGTTAGGGCATGTGTTGATAAGAGCCCAGGAACTCTAGTCAGAAAGAAAAAGAAAGTTCAGAAGAAGGATTATCAGAAAAAACGTTGCAGCAAAAGGCTATTACTAAATACTTTTCGTTACCGGAGGGTGCGTGAAACGGAGAGGTGGCTGCCGAGTGTGCAAGCCGGTCACAGCGCAGCAAGGATTTTCCAAGAGGCGGTGGCGACTGGCCCTTCCCCGCCTCCTGGCCGGGGAGCTGGCTCTTCCACTGCCGCGAGCCCAAGTCTAGACCTGACCTGGAGGCACAGTCTCGCAGGCTCTTGCTCCCTGTGCCCAGTAGCAGTTTGAGTCCGGGACTCTCCCCAGGGCCATCTGGGGCTACCCGGGACGCTACAGCCTCAGAAGACACTACTGGTGTCCCTGATGTTTGGTCATTTTCAATGCCAATAACTAAGCTACAATGGTTCTCCCACACCTGGAAGCTGATGAGTAATGAGCACTATTAATGCTTATTTCAAATGCAAAAAAAAACCTTGAGATAAAGTACTAAATTGTTCAGAAGGTTGTTTTCTTAGTAGAATGCTACAGGATTTTCTTTAGCCATCCGGAGTTCCTGCCTTCGTCCCAGTGCCGGTAAAGACCAAGGTGGAAGAATTCCCAGTGTTGCTGAGAACCGGACTGAGATTTCAGCTGAGAACCAGACGAGACTTCGGATTAAGCTAGCTGCCTGCAGAACCTACCTGGACTGTGATTTAAGCTAGCTGCCTGCAGAACTTACCTGGACTGTGATTTAAGCTAGCTGCCTGCAGAACTTACCTGGACTGTGATTTACCTGGACTGTGAGTTAATCTATTGAGACACTGCTTTACCTGGACTGAGACAACAAACTGTAATCTATAACAAATTGTAACTCGGTATCTTTGCTAACAGTGTCATTGCTGGTATAATTTTTCCAAGGGCTTCTTGCATGGAGCCATCAATTGGCTTGGTATTGTGGCATTTTGTATCCTCCCTTTCTGTTTGTGGCAGGTTATTTATGGTGTTTCTGTAAAAACCACTATGGTCGTTATTTAAATTAAACAAAAGGGAGAAATGTTAGAGTCTGTAAACAAGTCAAAATAACACCTGGCATTTTGCCAGGGGAATGTTGGAGTTCGTAAACAAGTCTGGATGGTGCCTGGCAAAATGCCAGAGGGAGTGGTTTGAGAAGTAACAAAAGCAAGCCATTAAGTGTGGAGATTCCTGATTGGTTGACTGATGTATCTAGTTTATGCTAATTAGATAAGCTCTGTGGAATGTATAAATACTGCTCCTGTCCTGCAATAAACGGCTCCCACTCCTGCTGTATCAACGTTCACAAGTTGTTCGTCACCCCCTGGTTATTTTGCTGCAGCCGGACTGCGGCAGTAAGGTACATATTTTTTAGTAAAAGGAGTTTTGGGATAGGGGACATGGCTTCCTGAGAGCTGGAAACTAGGAAGGGAAATGGCTCCAAAGATCTGTGCTGGAGTCCCAGTGACTACAGGTTCCTCCTCCTGGCTTATTGCTTGCTGCAGCATCCTGTATCTGCTTTCTTTTTTCTTGGGCACATGGCCCAACATGGCCACCCCATCCCCAAACTTCATATGCCCCCTTTTCTTAAGTACTTGCCACCTGGCTCTTTCATTTCCCTCTCTTTAAACCCTCCTACCCCCAATTCTAATTGGCTCAGCTTTTTAAAAACAGGTGTCTAAAGAGGACCCAATGGTGGGAAGAATCTACTCACAGAACAACTACTTTGGTATTCAAATGATTTAGACAAAAAAAGTGTCTGCTACTGAGTGTAAACTAAGCACACAGCCACACAGACAGTATGCCTAGCAAATTCATCTATTATTTGTTTTGCATTTGTGGTTTCTCTGAAAACATAATTAAATCAGGCCAAAGGACAGAGCTACCCTGACAGGACCTAGTCTTTCTAGAATGCTTAGTATACCCAAGGTAATGTCATTAAAGTGGTTGTTTGATGCTTTGAAATTATCTTTTGTTGAAGTTTTAAACAGTTTTATTAAGAATTTGGAGTTGGGCAGCCTGCATTTGTCATCTGGTTCCAGGATTCACTGGCTGTGGGCCTTAGGCAAGGGGTTTCCCAATTTGTACCTGTTTTCTCACTTGTAACTTGAGGACAACAGACTTGTCCTACAGAGTTCTGAGGAAGAGCAACTGTGCTAATATTTGTCAAGGGCTTAGAACGATGCCCCCAAGGCATGTGTGTTCCATATACGATACTTCTTATTGGCAGATTCGAGTAAGCAAAAACCCACACAAAAATATTCGAGAAGCACTTAATAAAATACTTTAAAAATAAGTTTATTGTAACTAACGAATATAAAATCTGACACATTTTCAAACATTTTTCAAAAAAGTAAAGCCCTCCCCTTTTCCCCTTCCCCATGAGATATAGAATACTTGGACAGAGAGGCAATACAAACCTCAACATGAAATTCTCATTCATAGTTGGCCCTAAAAAGGCTCCAACACATTATATTCTAAGTCAAGATCCATTAAATTAAAAAGCCAACAAACCATTTTGACACTTGTAGTTTATCTTGCTCTCTACTGGCAATATGATGCTCATTTAAAATGCTGAAGGACAAGTACAGTAACATAAGACTGCATGTGACAGATAGTCAAAGTGCACAGATCTATGAAACCACAAACATTCATACAAATACTAGATGTAAAATTAAATACTGACTTAAAAATTAATCCAAGGAAATCTATGTACATTTTAGCCTTTGGCATCTGGTCTAACATGTTTTTTCTTTATATAGACATCATTTTGTTCAATCTATTAATGAGCATAAATTTATTTGAACACATTTCTCATCTAACACAGATTGTCCACAGCCAATTTCACATGAGGTAGTTGGGCTGTTTAATGACATTCTAGTGAAGTTCTCATGACACATGGGAATTATACATTAAACATGCCATGAAACTGGCTCATCAGCCTTGTAGATAGATCACCCTTCTTATCATAACTGACTCCATATAAACCTGTGAACAGACACACATACACAGGAGTCTGTGTGGATGAGATTAGCTGTGCAAGGGGCAGCGACCATCCCGGGGTGGTCTGTTTGTAAGGTAAAGGGAGAAAATACTGACCACACTTTAAAATATACAAAACATTTAAAACAAGCAGGATATTGTTCTTATGTTCCCACACAGCTTAGATGAAAACATTTTTCAGTCTGAAAGAGAAGTGATTCATAATGGTATGCAAAGAAATTTGAAAACTTTTGCATTGCAGAGTAGTGGTATGTCTTTTCCTTTTAATTAAAGGCTATGTAAAAACAGTGGAAGAAAGAGATCAATGCATGCGTCAACTGTACCAGAGAGGCACCATCAATGACTGTTTCATCATGCCCTGGAATGCCTGAATGCAGCAATGCAACAAGAAATCATGCAAATGGTCACTGTCCACAGGACTACTGGCTGACACAGAATGGGAACCGGGGACATTTACAGGGAAGGTCTAGTAAACAGTATGTTTACAGAATTGCTGATAGGACCCATAATGACCTTGTACTAGATAAACAGTCTTAAAAATACCATTAGACAGCAAGTTAATATATTGTCACTACTATGAAACCCCTGAGTAAACAACTGCAGATTACAAAGGGTCATATAGAAGTAGAATGTATTTCTAAATAAAACATTCTATATGCAGTTCACAGGGACAAAGATTTTGCTATACACACTGAATAGTGTGCAGACTATAGAATATCACAAAGCATCTAAAGTCAGGTCCTCTAAGACCAAACACATTAGCTCACCTAACAACAATGGCTTAAAATTTACTTAAAAATTCTACGTCTAAACACTTTCAAATTTAAAAAAAGTTGGTAATTAAAAGAAATGAAATGTGAGGGTAGTGGAACTGAACAGTTGTAAAACCTATGACTAAAATCAGAAGCAACTGATTTTAATCAATAATTCAGAAATACACCATTATGTAACCAAGTTCCAGTCTGACATGGTAGTTTAATAGGGAAAAAATTAAAGAAAAAAATTCCTTCAGAAAATTTCCAAAATGCCTCACATCATCTTGTTTGGGACCCTCTGACTCTATTGCTTTATCTGACATTTCTTCACATGTAATTTTCATAATCAAATTCTTTCCTTTATTTAAATGTTTTTTTAAGTACTGGGGATTGAACCAAAGGCCTCACCCATGCTAGGCAACTGTTCTACCACTAAGCTGAATACCCAGCCCTTTATATTTTGAGACAGGGTCTTGCTCAGTTGCCCATGCTGGCCTTGAATTCATCATTCTCCTGCCTCAGCCTCCTGAGCAGCTAGGATTACAAGCGTACATATGCCTGGCTTATAAAAACTTCTTACTTTGGCTCTTTTCCTCAGAGTTAATGAAGTGTACTTTATTTACTGGTCCCAACCACATATTTTCTCAATTAAAAACACTATTCTGAAAATATGAAGCATTAACTTTCTGGTAATGTTTTTGGAATAATCAAAAGATGCAAACTTCCCCAGTGGCACTACCCGATACCAGCATGCCTTTCAGGTGTTACACATTATGGCATTAGCTGCCCTACAGCTGTAAACAGGAGTTCTGCCCAAATCTCTTATGGTCTGGCTGAGTACCAAATGCCTCCCTAGGCTAGAAACTGCTACTGGCCCAACAACTAGAAGTGGGAATAGATTTGGTGTGTTAATGGGAGCACTGATGAGGATTTTTAGTAGCAAAGAAGAAAGAAAAGTCACAAGGCTGAACTGTGAAGTTCAGATGTCTCCATCATAGAATAATGACATTAGTAGGGGAAACTTTCATTTTCAGAATGACACACAAATAATAATGAGAAGGTATGTTAAGCCACTACTTAATAAACCAGTGAATTCCCCAAATCCATTCCCTGGGGCCTAGGGGTTCAGCATTCTTAGAACCTCCTTGTGAAACTTCCTTCAAAGCTGGAGCTAGAACTCACACACACACACAAAAATCATTTCCTTCTTATAGTTAAAAGTCGGTTTCAACCCTGAAAGATATCCCTCCAATTTACCATTTTTCACCAGTATTAGCTGTAATGAATCAGATTTACTTTCAAAGGATAAGACTTGCCATCATTGAAAGGTCTTTGTTCAATACAACAAACACACACTGATATGTGGCGAGGGCAAAGGCTGGTTTCCACAAGTGACGCTAGATGAAATTGAGTGTGTGAATTGCTCATAAGGGGTCAGCAGTGCTGCTTATTTGCTTCTGCTAATATCTAGTAAGACATACCTCCTTTTTCTTCAGGTTCTCTCTAAAGGTTATGCTAGAATAGGAATCCTAAAAGTGTTTTGAGCAATGAAAAAATGACTACTCTGTCACCAAACATACTAGACTTTGCATCTCTCACTATCAAGGTCAAAGAAAGCTTAGGTGTTCCAGAACTTTTGCTGTACCATGGGAGAAAGCTGTAAGTATCTTTTTTCATTGTCTCCTTCTTATAAAATAACTGCAAATAAGCATAAATTATATCTTTAACTAAAATGAAGAAACAAATATCACAGATTCAGGAGGAAACTCCAATTTTGCTAGGGTTCAGGTCAAGCTGCATTTGTTGTTTGGTATAAGATTTACCAAAAAAATAAAATACTGTTTTACATAAGAATCCTCAGTTTTGCACATCTTAGGCAAACTTAATGTTTCAGTGACGAACAGGTGAAAAAAGAGTGTTTGGAAGCTGAAAGGGATGCAAGCTATTCTATCTGATCTGGGTTCCCAATGATCCTAGATAATACTAAACTCCTCTTCCTCCAAAAATTGAGTCATAAACACCTATACAGTATCTATAAAAATATGAAATAGCAGCTTTCCTTTTGTGTGCATTCAGAGCCATGACAGCAACCTGAGATTATTTTCAAAGTGCCCACCTCTTCTCCAAGAGACTATAAGAGTTCACCTGAGGTGATGAGGAGCACCAGCAGTTGCTTAGTACAGTCATACTTCTTAACATGAATAATTTCCTGGTAACCATCTCCTATTAATGGCACAGTGCCTAAAGTATCTTTCCTCAGAGTATAAGCAAAGTCTGACTGCTTTTTCTTTTTCCCTTTTGGGAGGTGACTTCAAGCACAAGAAGTGTAAATTGTCCCCTAAGCCCACCCTCTCATTCATACCAGCCAGAGAATGAGATTCATATAAAATACTCACAGAAGTGAAGGAAAATAACATACACAACTTAGCAGCTACTAAGAGCAAATGCTAAAATATAATACAATCAATATAATTTTATCACCCTTTTCCTCCCTGGCCTTAAAAACATATGAAGCTGTTTTTTTCTAAATTTAAGTACTTTGCAGAAGTTCTTATGTAGATGAAATACCTGCTCATTTTTTTAAAATATTATCTAATTTTTCTTGGTGGGGTCTTGCTATGTTGCTCAGGCTGGCCTTCAACTCCTGGACTCAAGTGATCCTCCTATCTCAGCCTAACACCAAACCCTACTTGCTTCATTAATTCAGCTAACTAAATGAACAAACAAACAAAATCAGTACCCTCCCTACTGAAGTTTTCTAAGGAGATGATTTCCCTGCACTAGGGGTCTCTATCAAGAACAGCATCATCCATAGCTGCTCCATTCACGTACATCCCTCAAAGGAACTCACTTCTACCATGGGAACTACCTTATGCTGGAACTTCCCCTTCTGTTGCCAGAAGGAAGTAGCCTCTGATGGGGAAGGCACTCATGGCTTCTCTCCTTTGCACACTCCAAGCAGACTGGCCTACCACTGGGAGATGAGGGCCCCAGTTTGGGGAATCATACTTTGTAGAAGAATGCCTGCCCAAGATTGTTTTATGAAATTCTCAAGTTCCATCTATGAATTCTGACATCATCCAAAGCTTTTGAGATTGATAAGCAGCTGCACTTAGCTCTGTACTCTTGGTTATTAAGCTGAGCTTGATGAGGGAGAAGATTCTAGAGCCATAGCCCCTGAATGTTAAACCAAGTTGGATGCTGAGGCTGGTTCAATTAAGACTGCTGCTGAATAAACCTGATCTCCATTTAATTATTTTACTTAAATTATGGGTCTTTTTCAAAGAACATATTTAGTTTTGAAAAACACTGGGAATTATGAAAATTCGAATTTAATTGAATGGTTCTTCAACTTTGTGTGCATAAGAATCACTTGGGAAGTTAGTCCAAATGCAGATTCCTCAGTCCCAACCCCAGATTTGGGTTCTCCAGGTATTTTGGGAATATGCTCTTTGAATAAGCACTCCGTTTGACTTTGATACAGAGGTGGTCCACTTTGAAATCACCTGGCTCCTCTACTTAAGAGGGTACCTTAAGCAGACCCCTTTACCTCTAAATTTTACTATGCATAGGAAATAGGCTGGCTAAGAGGAGGCACTAGGTAGGTATCATTTCAAATGACCTGGCCCACCACTACTACTGTCCTCTAGAGTGGGGTTAGGGCACACCACTCATTTCATGAAGCCATAGTCTTCTACCTATCAATGGGGATGGCAGTCCATGTTGTCATCCAACAATCTCATGGTCTCAGCAATGACTAAACCTCTTCTCACAGAGAAGAGATTTCTCTGAAGAACATCCACAAATAGCAAATTCTACATTGTAATTGCTTCAACTAAGGGGCTTACACTCCAAGTGCTCATTCTAAGAAATTTAAACATTAACTGACTTATCCTTGATACAGAATTTGCTCATTTATAGCTTAGGTTTGAATATCCCTTTAAAACTAAAATCTAAAACAAAACAATGCCAACAAACTCATTTGTGAAATCTGCTCTTATTACTTGCCGTTCAAGTCTGTAACAGCTATGATTTGGTTTCCAGTAGGTCCGTTGAACTGAAATATATAGCACCTTGATTTTTAAACACACAAAACACTTATTTTAAAAAATTATATATAAAAGCACTGGGTTTTGCCTCCTCCTGTCCATCCCCCGCCAAGAAAGGGTTTGGAGAGGATTGAAGCTGTTGCTGGAAATTAAGTAGGGCAACACAACTCTTTAGCAAACTTTATTCCCTGAAGTTAGGAGGCAATGTCCTGCAGCCGTCACACCACTTCATCAGACTCCAGCCCATGTACCTCATATAAAGTGTCCAGTATGGCCAACTGCTTTTCCATGGCAGGGAGGTAAAGGCTGAGGTCCCTCTGCATTCCAATACTGAAAGCTTCTTTCTGGTGGTCACCTTCCTTTATGGTTAAAGCAGCTACAAAGTCTTCATAGGATGGAGCTGCCCTCAGAGCTAACTGAAAAAGAATCACCTGTGAGAATCTGCATTGGAACTGTCTCTCATACACTTACGCACTTACATGCATGCACACACATGTACAAAGAGCTGAGGACAGCACGGGTAAAGAAATATGAACATCCTTCAAATTCATGAGTTCTCTAAAATTATGTTGCAAATGCCAATTCAAATAACTTTAAGGCTAGAAGAGGCAAATACGTACTCAGGCAATCCTCATGATGAATAATATCACCAAGTCAGGGAATGTGAAGAGACAGAAGTTCGAGAAAAGTTCCCTTCTTGCCCACAGTGTGATCCAGACCATTCCTCCTGAATTCTCAAAACTGACCTGTATATATGTTGCTGTATGTGTCTGTTCCCATGTCTAGTTTTCCAGGGTACCTCACTCTCCTGTTTATATCTCACATCCATATACATTTCTTTGAACATTTCCTATTTCCTCCCACATGGAAAATTTTCTTTGCCACTCTGAATATTTTCTAAAAAGGAGGGAGTCTAAGTTTGTTTATGTACTGATGCTTTAACATATTTTATTCCAGTTAATATCTATAAGAACTCTGCATGGTTTATGTTCCCATCTACAGATGAACATCAAATGGCTAATGAGTGCCTGGGCCAGGATCTGAATTTAGGATCATTTCTGTGCTTTGCAACCACACACCACCACTCCATGCCACTTCCTAATGAAATATTTCCCAGGCTCTTTATTCTCCTCTCCCTCTCTTTGCAGTTCATTTCCTAAGCTTGATAAAATTTGCTTTCTGCTATCCATTAGGTTGGCTCTCCTGAGATGAATAGAGATTCGTGATTATTGTACTATAGTTACTCTCCTGATCTTCCTTATACTTTGGAAGGCTTAGAGATTGGATCCTCCTCATGTCTGCAGGAAGAGAGTGACTGGCACAATCATGCAGTGGTTAAGCACAAGCCTGCGTGAGGCTGACCTGAACTTAAATGTAAAAGCTTTCACATATTTGCTTGAGGAATTAAGAAAAATGCTCAACTCCTAGAACCTCACTTTTCTCATTTGTAGAAGGTTAATACCACTTTCTTTATATTAAGGATCAATGGGATAGATAGAAAGTGTGTGGCTGATGGCCTAGCACATAATAAATATTTGGATAATAGTATGAATACAGGAGAAAGAACAGAAAATAAAGAGAAGACTGTTCTCTAAAAACACAATCTGAGAGCTGGGGATGTGGCTCAAGCGGTAGCACGCTCGCCTGGCACGTGTGCGGTCCAGGTTCGATCCTCAGCACCACATACAAACAAAGATGTTGTGTCTGCCGGTAACTAAAAAATAAATATTAAAAAATTCTCTCTCTCTCTTTAAAAAACAAACAAACAAAAAAAAAAAAAACACAATCTGAGAAAATATCCCAGAACTGAAGGACAGGAGTCTTCTGATTTAAAAATCCTAAGTTCGGAGCATGATGAATGATGAAGAAAAAAAGCATATCATGAGATTTTAAGGTGTGAGGACAAAGAAAAGATTCTGAAACCACTCTGAGGGAACAAATAATTGTTTATATATAATGGAACAGGAATGACATCAAATTTTCTAATAGTAACACTGGAAGCTGGAGGGCAGTAGAGTAATGCCTTCCAAATTCTTAGGGAGAATGATTATTAATCTAGACTTCTATACCCAGACAAACCAGCACTCTAAAAAGGAAAGGCAGAATTAATGCTGGAGTTCACTTTTCTTGTCTGGCTGAAGAGGAAACAAAAAAGATCAAATGATAGCTGGTTAGTGAACAAGCTGGAAGCAGAGCCTGGGTGGGCATTAGTTAGGAGACTAATTGTTTGAAAATAAGAGTTCACTATTAGGCTGGTTAATGACTCAAATTCCTTGAATAGAAAAGACATTTCCTTGGGCAACTGAGATCAGTTAGGATAAATTTAGCAATGTTAATTAGCATGTTATAAAGTTCAATAAACCTTCAAAATAGGGATGTCGTAGAAATAATGGTAGTCTGAAAGGGCAATCAAACTATGGATTTAATTCCTCTATTGATAAGGCTGTTTCCAAATACTCAATATAATCTATTTTCTTACAAACCTGTAACTTTAAAAGCCTTCTGTAACTGTGTGCATATTATCTCCCTCTGTGTCTCTGGATTCTCAGTCTACAGCATATAGTCTATGTCTCTTAAGTACTTAAAACAACATTAAGTGTATGGGAAATGCTCAAAACCCTAAGTTGTGGTTGCAGATCTTGATATTAGACACGGAAGCTCTTTGAGGGACTTACTTTAAGGAAACAAGGGTTTTAGCCAAAATTATATGTGAACAAATGCTTTGTATCTAAGAAGAAACTCAGAAGTAGCTTAAGTTTCTAACACAGAGCATTGGGCAAATAAACTAGTATACTTCATATACTTACATGGTCATTAAAAATAGTGCCTTTCTCAGACTTTTATGGCATTTAAAAATAGTCATGACAATCTACTAAGTGGGGAGAAAGGTACATAAATTATTATACATATGCTACATACTTGTAGATATAAACACTTATATCTACAAGTATGTAGCATATGTATAATAATTTATACATATAAATAGAATATATTATCTAAATAAGTACATAATATAAATAGAATTATAAATAAAATATATTATCTAAATAAGTACATAAATGAAATAGATCAATATTTAAAAGAATATATAAATAAAAGTATATGAAAATAAAAGTTAAGAAGGTAAAAAACCTAAAAATCTTAAAAATGGAATATAGGACATTTAAAATTTTCCCTTTCTATTTTTCCATGACTTCTAAAATTTTTTGAGTATAAATTTGAAAAAGTATAAGTTAAAAAGAACTTTTAAGGACTCATGCTAATGATACATTTTCAACTATAGATGCCTTCTTCTTATTGGCAACATCTCTTGAATCATCAATACTTCAGGATTAAATTTTGCCTTTTATACTGAAACAAAACAAAACAAACAAAAAACATACCAAAGACCCAACATTTGTTTCTTGTAAACATTTAATCATCTCACTAAGGGAACTCAGGAGTCAGGACCGTACAGTTTCTCAATTATATGGTCTTCCCTGCAGAGGGCTGTGATGGGGATGAGCACTAGCCTTGGAGATAGCAGACCTAGGTTTAGACATAGGCTCTCCCACAGTCCACTTTGGTATTAGAATTAATTGTTCTAAATTTATAAAATAGTAGGAGTTAATCAGGATTAATAAAGATAATGTACATGAAAGTGAAAGTACTGGCACATTGCTTGTAGACAATAGGCATCCAATAGCTACAGAGTAGCTATTATTTTGATTATCAAACATGCACTGAAGGTAAGTGTGGGCAGTTTGAAGTTGCAACTGGTCTGGTATCTATTTCAGTGAGGGACAGGAAATGGAGCTAGCATCTCCATGCTTTCAAAAATATCTAATTTCCATTAATACTTAATTTCTTGCACTGTTCATTCTTTCTACTTCTTTGCCAAAGAAAGCGGGGGGTGGGGGCTGGTGTTGTAGCTCAGTGGTGGAGGGCTTGCTTAGCAAGTGTTAGGCACTGGGTTCAATCCTCAGCACCACAAAGGTATTTTGTCTATCTAAGAAAATGAATTTTTTAAAAAAGTGGGAGGAATAAATCATGACCTAAACAGTTCTTATCTTGGGCAAATGATCCTCTAAATTAGTAAAAGACACCATCTATAAGGATATTTCACCCACCCAACTTTCCACAGAATACTCACATTCTACTAAGTTTTCTAGTGTATGACCACATGACTCTGCCTTTTCATGGCTACATTTGACTAAGACTGACCCTTCTCTCAGATAAGAATAAGCATTATCGTTAACATGAAGGGGCTATCTACTCCTGCTAAGAGGTTTATCCAGGGTACTATGATTCTTAGGTTTGTGTTCTTTCTAGTTAAAAATGCTGGGAAGGAAGAAGGTGGACAACAGAAGCCAGACACATGAAAAATAACATCTTCACAATAAATACCGTGTAAAAAGATATGTCTAGGGCTGGGGTTGTGGCTCAGTGGTTGAGCACTTGCCTACCATGTGTGAGGCCCTGGATTCAATCCTCAGCACCACATTAAAATAAGTAAATAAAATAAAGGTATCGTGTTCAACTACAACTAAAAAATAAATTTTAAAAAAAGATATGTCTAGTCCTACCTGTTGGCACACTAAAGTTAAAATTCAAAGATAAAATTTAACTTGGGGAGGGAAGAGGGGGTAAGTCAACCAAGATCTGAGAATTAACAGGATTGAATACACTGAGCAGCAGAGGGAGCTATTAGCTTAAATGCATCATTGCAGGTCAACAGTAAGAATATTGGATTGCTGTATCCTATCTACCTCTCACTGCATGAATACTGAAGCTTTTTACTAGATTACCAGAAAGGCAACCACTTTGAAGGCAAATCTCCACAAGGTCATTGGAACTGTATAGGGTAAAACAACTTTTTTTTTAATTCCAATTTTTAAGTGTCTTTGGTATTCTAGACACATTTTATTGCTGACGTTTCTGCAAACCAAAGGCTTATAAACTTAAATAAGCAAAATTTCTTATTATTCTCAAAAATAAAGCAAACAAAAATACCACACACAAAAAATACATATTTTACTTCTGACCATATGAACATTAGCAGGTAATGATCACTTACCGCAAAAACCCCTCGGACTACCCAGCCGTGGTGTTGCCGTAATGTTTTACCATATGCATTATCTTGAAGAGAAAAACAACTCAGTAAGGAATGTCTGCATTGGAATTTGATGTGATTTGTATAATGTGCTTTTTAATGCATGATATATCATAGTCCTATTGGTATTAAGAACTGAAAAAAATCTGATCATAAGATTTTTGTATCCTAAAAGTTTTATACATAGGGAAAAACCCACATGGATTTGTTTAATTTTTTTCCACATTATTTTATTGGTGTATTATAGCTGTACATAATGGTAGAATTTGTTGTTACATATTCATACATGCATACAATGTAATAATATAATTTGGCCAATCCTCCCCTCCTTCCTCCTTCTGGTCCCTTTCCTCTATTCTACTGATCTCCCTTTAATTATCATGAGATTCACCCAACCTCCCACATTTCTTTTCCTTTTTCCTCTCTAAATTCACATTTTTTTTTTTTTTAAGAAAGACAGATACTTCCATTCTTATCCTGGGTCAATATACCTTAATTTTTAGTTTATTATAGTGGGAAAAGTTTAATACCTACAAAGAAATAAGGAAGGAAGAAAGGATATTGAAACTAAGTATAGTTCAATCCCTTAGCTGCCCTTTGTAAACATTTGCTTCCCCTTTTACAGAATGATCTCTAAGGTTCTTTTTAATTCTAATATTCTATTTTGGAATTTCAAATGTTTGCCTCTAAAACCCTGCATATAGTACTAAAGGTAGAAACCTTTAAAAATGTTATGGAAAAGCTAGGTGTGGTAGTGTGCACCTGTAGTCCAAGCTACTCAAGGAAGTTCACTTGAGCCAGCCTGGGCAGCACAATGAGACCCTATCTCACCACCACCACCATTACCACCACCACCACCACCAACAACAACAACAACAAAAATCAAGCAAACAAGAATGGTATAGGAAGAATGGCTTGAAGTTATTAAGTTAGTTACAAAAGTAACTGGTGAGATCTATTAATAAGTCATTAATATTTCATACTTTAAAGAAAACAACCTATTATTTTTGCCCAAAATGAGACTTAAAAACTGGATTATAATATAATTTTATTTAAAAAAAAAAAAGAGAGAGAGAGAGAGAGAATCCCAGGAACAAGATGGCTGCATTCTATACAAAGGCTGTTTTCCTGAAGATTTAATAATTTGATGAGTGCAAAATTCAAAACTTATTTCCCCACAGGAATGAATTCATTCTCAAGAGGTATCCATTTTTATTTTAATGCTCCATCTTTCTTCTGATTATTTTCTTCAACAGTTTATAGAATGTTCATTTCTAAATTATTAGTACAGTGTATCATGGGGGCTGTCTGACCTTGTTCTTTATGTTTTACCCTATCACATCTAAATTCTCTTTTCTAAACTTATTTATTTTCATGTGTTAGTTTTAGCATTATCACAAATACTACCATGATTTAATATGTGTACAGGTGAGATTATAATAGGCTATAAAATATTTTCAATTATAAAAAGAATAGATGTCAAAATCATAGAAAAACAAATACTACAAGTACAAGTTTCTAAGCAATGAAAAGCAATGTAGTTCACAGGACACTGTTAAAGGAAGTCAGATATTTGTGTTTTACTGGCTAAAATGGTACTGCCATGTGGCCACAGCTTATATACTTTAGTTTACTCAAGCAGGCTTAAAATTATGCAATTCCAGTTAACTTTTACTTTAAAAATTTGGATAAGGCTTTATTAATATGTCAAGTATATCCTATTTTAATTTTACATAATTTGAATTTACATAAAACACAATTACATTTTAGACTACTACTGAAATGTAAAATCAACAAATGAACTAAAACTCATTTTTAAAAAAATGCCCAAAGTAGTTAGCTGGCATCTAGGGCTACAAATATCCCTGTCACATGAGGCTGCATTAAAATAAGATGAGGTCTAAGCCTGACCTATTTTGGTTACCTTTAAAAGATTAGATAATGAACTACATTAATCTTCACTGTAATTCCCTTCATTATCATAATGCATGTTCTATAATTTGAGATTATTTTTGGCCTCTGAAAGACATAAATAATACCTTCCTCCCAATTCTTAGAGATGTGTCAGTTCCCCAAAGACGGAATCAAAATATCTGAGGAGGAAGACTCGACAATCACCTTTGCCCAATTCTCTTTCTTTCACAAAAGAAAAAACAAAAGACCAAGAAAGGCAGTATCTTGCCCAAGATCACAAAGCTAAAAGCAATGAGAACTTGGGCATTTGTGTAATATCAAACAAGTCTCTCAAAAAACTAATGTTTATTCTTTGTGAAAAGAAATAATGAAAATTAAAGATGCCTTTCCCAGAGCACCTTATTCTGGTCATGGAAACAGCAAAGATCTGATTTCTTTACCATTAACTCAGAAACATCTTTTGAGGTATTTATGAACTATGCCTAAATCTTTTATCTTTTAATCTTTAGTATTCTAAGTGAGAACAATCTTTCATTATTTAATCTGAGTAGACAACTACTTTTGTCTAAGAATTGTACATAGGAGAGTGCTTTTCTATTGTAAATCTATAACTGGTAAAGTTACATAGGGTTGTATGGAGGTCAAAGGAGAAATACAAACCCAAGTCTTAAGAAGAGGAGCCTGGAAGTGGATAACTAAAGCCAGATGGGTAGAGTTATTTTGAACCCAGGAAATAACAATCATCTCAGCTCTGCAAATGTGCTAAACTAGACCATCCTTAGGCAAAAATCAGGAAGTAGGAGAGGTATGAAAGCAGGCAGACAAGTATGCCAGGAGGCTGTAGAAACAGATAGGCACTGGAGAAGTAAACCTGCCTGAGTCCTAAAACTACTACACAAATAAATCCAATTGCTCAATTAAAACAGTATGAACATTTGCCTTGTGAGAACTCTTATCTTCTTTCAAAAAAACAAGGATGAACAGAAAATGTGTCAGAATACAGAGTATAGAACAGATCCACCTGCATAACACGGATGATAATATATACTAATGGGGAAAAAGGGGGTGATGGAATAAATGATGAATGCCAAGACAACTGAATTACTGATGAGGAATTATCAAATTATATATCTATCTTATGTCATTCTCAAAACAAATTCCAGGAAGATGAAAAGCAAAGCTGCAAAACTTTTTGAGTATCAGAGAACATCTTGTGACCTTAAGGAAGAAAGGAAATTTCTTACACAAGATATAAAAATGCAAATCATAAAAGAAAACAATTACATGTTGGATTACATAAAATCCCAAACTTCTGTATACCAAAATACATCATAAATAAAGAGAAAAGGAATGCCACAGATGGCCAGAAGACATAACTCATAGCTGAAAAGACCAATATCCAGAAAATATAACAAACTTCCATGGGGAAAAGAAAACTTAACAGAAAAAGGCCGAAGTATATGAATAGGCAATTCACTGCAGAGGAAATCAAACTGCCAGTGAAGATATGAAAGGCTGCTCAACCTTACTAGTAATCTAAGAACACAAACTCTGGTGATATTCTATAATTTTATAACCATCAGGCACAAATTAAAAGTTTGACAATGACAAATGTTAGTAACAACATGGGAACTCTTGACTACTCTGCCAGTAATGACAAACTCCGGTGATCAATATGAGAGTATCTAGCTATGTGGTTCAGCCATTTCAATTCTACTAAATACTGGAGCAGCAGCTCTCAGAGTGTGGTCCCCACACCAACAACCTCAGGATCACTAGGAATTTGTTAGAAATGCAGTATTACACCTCAACCCAAATATATGGAGCAATCTGTACTTTTTTATTTTTAGTACTGGGAATTGAACTCAGGACCTCACATGTTCTAGGCAAGTGCTCTACCACTGAGCTACATCCCAGACTTAAAAAAAAATTTTTTTTGAGATAGTCTCACTAGTTGCCCAGGCTGGCCTAGAACTTGCAATCTTCGTGTGTCAGCCATCCAAGTAGCTGGGATTACAGGTGTGTGTCAGCATGCCTGGCAGCAATTTTTGTTTTAAAGTACCTTTCATGATGCTAATATACTGCCAAGTTTGAAAACCACTGCTCTAGCAGCACAGCTTTTCAGCCAGTAAAGCTCAATGAATTACAGGTCTGCAGAAAGCCAGAACTGCAACCCCGTCAGACACCCTTAGTAATGAGCATACCCCACTATGCTGGGCAGATATGATTTGCTATATGACCAAGAACATACATAAGGAATATCTAAACTGTAGCATTGTTTGCAATCATGAAAATCTGGTACCAACTTAAGTGTCCATCTGCAGTATATTTGTTTTTAAAAACTGTGGTGTATTCATAAAATGGAAGGTCAGAGAGCAGAAAAAAATGAATGAGTCAGGACTACAAGCATAGGGTAGATAAATCTGAAAATTAGTACTGAATGATAAAGGAATAATGGGTATAACATGACGCCATGTAAATGAGCTTAAAACTCAGATCCCAATACTAGATACTGTTTATGAACACTTACATAAAAATAAGCATTATATAATGATAAACACCAAATTTAAGATGATCTTCTTTTGAAAACAAGGTAAGTAGTGGGATCAAAAGGTGGTACCATGAATAATATACTAGGTAAAGTGGTAGATATTTGTTAAATGTCTGTAATTTTAAAAAGTGGTACTAAGAAAGTACCCTATAAATTCTTTATAGTGACTAAGCTTCAGGTGAAATGAGTTTTATGGAGAAACAACTCAACAATCAGTGAAGAGATGTAAAACGAATGTCCAGAGATGCCTTTTTGTTAACTTCAGACACTGTCAAGAGAAAAACATGTGCATTAAGCCAATCTTATCAGTTCAGGCACATGCTGTGAGTGGTTCTGGAGAGGACATGACTTAAATCATGTTCCTTAGTATTTTTGGAATAATGAGTCAAGTTACATTTTGATGTTCATTATCTGATTGTGAGTTCTTTCTCTTGCTTAGTTCTCCTTGTCTATGGAAGCCTTTCAAATTAAATACATGACCGAGCATCCTTTCAAATTTTTTCCTATTCTGTGCTAGAGATATTGGTTGGATTAATTTTTACTTGACATTTATGGAATCATTCTGAGGTGACAGACATGGCAATATGCTGTCCCGCTGAATGAAGAGTGCGGAGCACATAACATTTAGTACAATGGTGCATGAAATGCCAGAGCAACTCTTCCTCCTTCCACTTACAAGGATGCTTTTCAAAACCTCTTTTTTGATGTGTGTCATCTGCAAATGAAGAGGCTCAGTCATAGGGCAGACTATTAAACATATCTGCCTTGTGGACTCAACTCCTTCCTTAAAAAGATTTCTAGTGAATGGCATGGGGTGTTAAGGATATAGAGAAACTGTTGGCAAGAGATCACCCAAAGGTTTAACTCTGATCACCACAATGGGGATTCAAGTGTATAAAGAAGCTATGTAAGCCTAAGGCATCCTTTCAGGTGCTGGGAACTATTCCAGGTCACAGCACTCCAGCAATACAATAAGAACAGATGACTTTTCCAGAAAGGTTAGACACTAAGGTTTCCATTGTATCATTGAAAACCTTGACATATCATCTCCCATCTCTAAGGCCACAAAGACTACAAGTTTTATAAGCATTTACCTCAAAACCTTTCCTAAGCAGTGTTTTATTGAAAAGCTATCTAATTATGATGAAAAGGAGGCAAAATTGATGCTGTGACTAACTTTAGCACTTTAAGTCCTGCTCATGAATAATCTCTCAGATGCAGAAAAAATAAAATCCCCAAATAATCAAGATGTAGCCAAGTGGCAGGTGAACTTCAATGGCCTGTCTTGCTGAGTAGGTCTCAAACTTTGGCATGCATTAGAATCATCCTGGATGACTTCTTAACACATGGCTACTAGGCCCCACCCTGAAGTTTCTGATTCAGCAGGTAGAGACTGATGGTCTGAATTTCTAGTAAGTTTCAAAGTGATGAAGATGCTCTACAGTTCGTGGACCAGCTTGTGGACCAGTGATCTAGATTTAGAAACCCAAAGAAATTTACTTACTTTTCAAAAACCTCAGTTTATTCACTGTAAATGGACAGTCATTTGGAAGATTAAATATTTATGTAGAACTTAGTGTAGTAGTTATATTTGGTAGTCTTTAACAGTACTTTTACCACAATAATCAATTTTAGAATTAAAAAAATGATAATTTGCCTCATTTTAGACAAAATTATCAGTTCCACTTGTAAAGGCTTTGACTTTAAAATAAGAAAAGCCATTATCTTGGGGAAAAAAATATCCAAGGAGCCTATGAGGTATAAACAGCTATTGTATGAGTACATTTCATAAAAAACATGTTTGTACAAAGCTTATTTGCCTGTATCTGAAGGGGCAGGAAGATGGTAGGTTAGGGGCCCTTTATCTCCATACACTGACAAGCGGCAAGAAATTTGGGATATTAAAATCAAAGACATGATTTTAAGCAAGAAAACCTTCTTTGATGTGAACCTGAATATAATGTACACATTATAGATGGTAGTTTAGGGGTCCTTTATCTCCATACACTGACTAACAGCAAGAAATTGGGATATTAAAATATCCCAAGGGATATTTTTATTTAAGGGATAAATGGGGAACTCAAATATGCAGGTAGTCTAGGAATGGGTAAAGACCCTTTGTAGGAGAAACCTTTGGCACTTTTAAGGCAAGGATCCCAAAGTGAACTTGCTTTAGACCTTTCTGGGGACCTGAAGCAAGTATTTTAATCATTAATGCTTCTGGTTCCCTACTGTGCAAAAACAGATTTATGGGATGATTAAGATATCTGCTACAGAGATGTCAGCACTGATTGTTTCAGGACACACCAGCATTTCTAGATGGTATGGCCTGGGGAAATCAAAGCAGGGCAGAATCCTAGACTTGTAGCCCAGAGGAGGATTAACAAAGGGTGGTAGAAGATATCTGTAAAACTGAGAAATGTCAGAACTTGACTCTCCAGCCCTCCAGAAGCATCAGTTAATTCATTTCACCATTTATAATCATAGCTACTTAGTGCTTGGCTGTGTACATTACGATAATATGGGGCTTAGAAATAATATACAATCTCATCCCTCCCCCCACATGCTTCAAGGCCCATGCTGGAAGAATTATCTATAAGACAAGGTGAGAGGTCAGCCACTCCACTAGGAACATGGTGAGGATGCTTCCAAATCCTAACATTTTCCAAAATTTGTCTGATAGATAAATCTATCCACCAACCCACCTATCCAATGTTATTAAACACCTTATTGCAGTCACTGCAATCAAGTCTCCTTCCTCCCAATTTCAGTTTTACCACTACAAAATGGGAATGCAGGATGATAATCAGCCCTCAATCTCACTCCAGAGCAAATCCCATGATTCCCATTAAGACTAAGGAATGGCTTTCCATCAGTTCAGTGCTTCCTAGGGCATACTGATTTTTAGTAAGTTAGAACTAGATTACTAAGTACCAAGATTACTAAGTTACTAAGTCTCATGGGTCTTTTAAAAATTACACATATAGGAATCAAATAGTGAATAATACTGAAATAAGAAAAGAGAAATCAAATCCCCCAAAACACAAATTTTCCCTGTACCCTGTCTCTTCCTACATGGGGTCTCAATTCCAAAGCCTGTTCAACTAATCAAAATGTAAATACCACTTACTCAGGGCTGTCTGAATATCCTTTTCTCCATTTTTCACTTCTGTCAAAAACCCTTTTAAAAATTTGAGACCTCTAAAACGAAAAAAAGAGGAATAATTATTATCTTTTTAGTTCACTTATATAGAATGAGTATAAAGAAATGGCAGACGCCAGCTTCTACTTTAGTAATATTTTGGGCTTAGTAATCAGGTCAAATCATATGGTGATCCTTTCTGAGTTTCTTCCCTGACATTTCCCTTTAGGATTTTCTGGACCCCTCAACCCATCTGATAAAACCTAAGGCAGTGGTCTTCAAAATGTGTAGTCACAGCACTGATGGTTTGGGCATCACTTGGAGATCTATTAGAAATCCAAATTCTGGGCCCTACCTCAGACTTAGGGAATCAGAAACTCTAGTTCTGAGTCCAGAGTTTCTAACAAACCCTCCAGGAGATTCTGATGTCACTAAAGTTGGAAAACCAACAACTCTAAGAGAGATGAGTTGGCTTTCCTGTCCATAAGATTTCTATCTTATGGGCTGGGATTGTGGCTCAGTGGTAGAAAGCTTACCTCACACGTGTGAGGTACTGGGTTTGATCCTCAGGACCACATAAAAAATAAAGAAACAAATAAAATTATTGTATTCATCTACAACTAAAAATATTTTTAAAAAAGATTCCTATCTTATATATACTATTAATATTATTATAATATAATATTTATCACCATCAAGAGGTATGCACACAAAAACCTGGCATTCTATTCATTAGCTCTTTTAAAAAAAAGCTATAGATTTTGGTTTGAGTCTTTATTCTGAAGTAGTATCCTTTGTACAACAATTTTTTGGTGCTAACATTTTAATCAAGCTAGATTTATCTGCTGCCCCACCCTGACTGCCTCACCTCTTCAGCCACAAGAGGGCTTCAGTAGCTGAGTTCCTAACCTGAGCTACATCCGCCTCCACTTCATGTAGCACTATCTTCTGGAGGGTAGTAAATTCTTCCTTGTTGGTTATATACTTCTGATTTACTTTCTGGAGAAAAAAATGGAAATAATTTAAGTTAATAATGTTAAAGTCACCAAGCAAATCAGTATAGTTATTGAGATTTGTACATTTGGCAAGAAGGCTCTAAGAAATAAAAGACCTCCTTCCTTATGTTTTCAAAGCAATGTGGGTTTGTTTGTTTTTCTGTTTGAGATTCTATGAGGCTTATGCTGGAATTAAACAGTCCCAGAGTTTTAAAGTATTATTCCTGAAGTATACTTTTTCCTGCCTTAGAACCTCCCTTACAGCTGTGTTTGGTAAATCATTTTCATCTTGATTATAAAACTAAATCATCATTTGTTTGAATGAGATTTCAAGCAACTAGTCCCTCCAAATGATAGTAAAGAAATGTATATCTACAGAAATTCCTTACACTGCTTCCTCAAAGAGCACACAATCTGTGATGAGAACCGCAGATTTGTATTGGGTACTGTATTCTCAAGAAGATAATATTCAATCTACATTTTAAAAGGGACTCAAACTTTAAAAGTTGGAAGTAATGTGTACAACTCTCTCATTTTACTGGGAAGGAGGAGGCTCAGAACAATCAAATGTGTTGCTATGCTTCCACAGCTGAACCTGGAAGTTGGGCCTGTTGGGAATCAGACCATTAATAGCTATTTTCACTAATAAACTTTTTGAAAAAATATAACTGTCATTGTTTAAATCTAAAAAGCACAGAGTCATTATTGATATAAGAGTAATTCTCCATTGATCCACGCTCCAGGTTTGAAAACTTCCTTTGTCGTATATAATAAAGGCTTACTCGTCATTCCCCTACTAAGCATTCCAACTGGGAAAAGAGAGTTGTTCTGTTAAAGAGCTATAGTAACTTTTTTTTCTTTTAGGTACTGTGGATTGAAGTCAGGGCCCTTGACCACATCCCCACCCCAAACATTTTGTATTTTATTTAGAGATAGGATCTTACTGAATTGCTTAGTGCTTTACTTTTGCTGAGGCTGCCTCAGTCTTCCAAGCCACTGGGATTACAGATGTGTGCCACCACGCCCGGCTTATAGTACCTTTGTAACTTGTTGGTTTATTATTTGCAAACATAAAAGTATTAAAAATGTTTGCAAGTTTTCTCAGATATCAGCCAGTATACTCACCTTGATATTTCCAACAAGATCCATCTTAACAGGAGCAAACACTGTAGGACCAAGTTTGTCTGGAAGAAAGAATAAAAACATGTTTGAAAAAGTAATTTTGCAAGTGAAAAGTATCTTTTTAAAATTTTTCATGGGAAATATTTTATGGTAACAATAAATTTAGAAGGTCTTTTCTCCCACAACTTTAATTTTTGCTTCTAAATCATTTTCTAAAAAGCTTGACATTGTTATCACCTTTTTTTATTTTACTACTATGAGGTAGAATAACTATAACATGGTCCTAAGTGGAAGGTGAGATGAAGATAATCTTATAAATTTAGAAAACATATTTGAAATCCTTAGCATTGTACTGTCTAATATGGTAGTTACCAGATATGTGAATATTTAGCATAAGCAATGTGGCTTGATCCATATTGAAATATACTGTAAGTATAAAACACATACAAGATTTTAAAGACGTAGTACTGAAGAAATTAAACAACATATCTCATTAATGATTATTTTAACTGACTATATGTTGAGATGATATTTTGGATATACTATATTTAAAATATGTTATTAGGATTAACTTTTACTTTACTATTTTAATGCACCTTATAGAAAACTTAAAATTACATATGTGATTTGAACGTGTATTTCTGTTAGGTGGAAGTATTTTTTTTTTTAAAGAGAGAGTGAGAGAGGGAGAGAGAGAGAAAGAATTTTTAATATTTTATTTTTTAGTTATTGGCGGACACAACATCTTTGTTTGTATGTGGTGCTGAGGATCGAACCCGGGCCGCATGCATGCCAGGCAAGCGCGGTACCGCTTGAGCCACATCCCCAGCTCAAGGTGGAAGTATTTTTAATAAATTTAACTCTGCTAAGTAAAATCTACTGATTTTAACTATTTAAGTATACCAAATATAATTTTTTACTATAAATAGGAGTATAGATATAATAAAAGAGTATAGTATAATAAAGGAATATAAGTAAAAAGTCAGAAAGGAATGGAGTTTCCCCCCAAAAAAACCACTTGATTGACTTAAAAGACAGATAGCTTAAAAAAAAAAAGAAGGAAATAAAATAGCGTACTAAAAAAAACAAAAAACTGATTCGCTGGCTAAAAATCAGGGAAGAGTAGAAAAGGAACAAAGAGCAGATAGGAAAACAAAATAAATGGCAAGATGATAGAAACATCAATAGAATTAAATGAATCTAAACAACGTAATTCACTACAGTAATAAATTACAAGGAAAATACACAATGATTACAACTACAGAAAAGCATTTGATAAAATTAGCTCATTCGGGATTATTAAAATAAATTTTAAGCATACAAAAATCAATTTATCTACATGTTATCAATGAATAATTGGAAAATAAAAGAAAATATTTTTACAATAGCATCTAAAGCATAAAATTCCAACATTTATTCCTAATAAAAGACAAAATTATAAAAAACATTTCTAGAGAAAATAAAGATGACTTAAGTGAATGGAGGTGTGTGTGTGTGTGTGTGTGTGTGTGTATGCTTCACAATAAATTTAAAAGATCTTCCTCCCAAAAACTTTAATTGCTGCTGGGATTACAGGCGTGCACCACCGTGCCCAGCTAACAGACCCATTTTATAAGGCAAACTGGTTTTCAACTAAGGTGTCAGAGAAATGTTTAAAGAGAAAATAATGGGTTTTGCCGAATGATTTTTAAATAGCCACATTATCATAAGGAAAAAAAAAACTGAAACTCAATTCCCTACTTTCTACCATGTACAAAAAGTAATTCCAAGATGGATTATGGATATAAATGTAGAAATTAAAGAATCTAGAAGAATATACAAGAAAATATCTTTATAACCTTTGGTTGTGGCAAATAAAGGTTTCTTAGGACATCGAAACCATTAACTACAAAGAATAGGTTGGACTCTGTCAAAACTAAAAACTTCTGCTTTTCAAAGGTACCATAAAAAAGAAAACAGCAAGCCATAGACTGAGGGAAAAGATTCAAAATGTATAGGTCTACAACAGAATTTTATTCAGAATATGCAAGGAACTCTTGCAACTCAATAAGAAAAATAACCAACTGTTTAAAATGGGTTAAAGATGCAAACAGAAACTTCACAGAAGATAGAGCAATTGCCAATAATTACATGAAAAAGTATTCAACATTACTAGTCATCAGGGGAATGCAAATTAAAGCCACAATGAGATATTATTAAACACAAGAAAGGCAAAACCCAGAAATACTGACATCACCAAAGCTAGTAAAGATGTACAGAAACTATAATATTCATATGCTGCTGCTGGATATGTACAATTGTGCAATAACTGTATAAACTGGCAAATTATTATAAAGTTAAAATTACTAACCAGCAATTCTGGTCCAAGAGATTTACTTGAGAGACATAAAAATATATGCCCAGACACAAAAATGTTCAAAGCAACTTCATTTATAATGCAAACTACCCAAATGTCCATCAATAGGATCAACATTCATTCACAGGACTCCTACTTAGCACTACAAAGCAAAGAACAACTGATATGTACAACAAAGATGAATCTCAAAAAACACACTAAACAAGGAAAGCCAGATGCAAAAGAGTACATTTACATGAAGTTTTAGAATAGGCAAAACTAACTTATGGCAATGGAAATCAATAAAATGATCACCTTGGAGTGGGGAATGCACTGAGTACCAACTGGCACAGAGAAAAATGTCCTGAAGTGATGAACATATTCTGTATTTTGATAGGGATGTGAATTCATAGGCTGGGTGCACTTATGAAAACTGACTGAATCATAGTTCTTACGTTCCATGAAAGTTACACCTCAATTTAGAAAGGTACATGATTAAATGGGTCATACAGTAAATTTCAAAACATTAGCGATCCCTGGTATTACCGATTTTACATAAGTAAATTTGAGCTTAAGCAAATTTATATATGTAATATTTTTTATTCTTTGAAAAATTTTATTACTGGTAAAATATTTTTTCATAGTACCAATAAATTTGAAGTCCTATTCCTCAACTACTTTCACTTTTACTTTTATGAATGCTTTCCAGAAAGCAGAATTCTTTTCATTAAAATATTTGATCATAATTACAAATGAAATAAGAGTATGCAATAATGCTTGTCTCAATAAAGCATGTCTCAATTTACATATAGTCTAGGATATTTCTCCAGTTCTCATATTATAAACAAATATCCTTTCATTTTTTGCATGTTAGGGTATTTTTCTGTTGTTAATTTTGCTGTTTAGAGGGCCCCCCAAATACAGTGCTATTTAGTGTACATAAGCATGAGAAGTCTGTGATGTGGCTTATGGACAAAATACGTGTTTCAGATAAGCTTAATTCTGTCATGACTCAGTGCTGTTGGTAGAGAGTTCAATGTTAAATGAAGACAAATTCTAGAAGGCAATGAATAAGGTAACTACAGAAATCTTACCTAATACTGGAACCACAGCATAACATGATGCCAAGAATGCTTCTGTGGGAATGCCACTGTCTTCCAGAAGTTCAATGTCACTAAAGCTAAACAATTTGGTGATAACAGAGAAGGAAAGATTGAAAATACAACATCAGCATTCTCTGCAGTTCAGTTTCAGAAACAGCTGCCTTCTACAGGGCTAACCATATGGTCTGATTTCACAGAAATGCCACAGCCATTTCTTTTCTTTTTCTGTAATTATAAAATGGCCCATTAAAATAATTTTCCAAAGATACTCTACCAAAGCAAGTTTAAATTTTTTCAGATTACACACTCATAATCCAATTCCTTCTCATCCACCTTTATGGTAAATAGTAGATACCTGATATACGATACTCTCTATTCTATTAGAATATACCATCACCTAAAAGGACCACTATGACTGATTTTGCAAAAGAGAAACTGGTGTACAAGTGTTAGTGATTATAGAGGGGGTACCTGGTGTTCATGGTACTAAAAAAAGTTGGAATAACTTCTTTGCCTTCTTCCCAGAGGGATTCTGGAGAGCAACTTGAGGAATCTGATCCAGACTGTGCCAAGTCGTTGTCATTTCCCAGGTTTTTCTCTCCATTTTCCTTAATTATTTCACCTTGGACTGCAAAGTAGAGGATACCTATTACTAACCTATTAAATGCTTATTTAAAAAATTCATACAGACATTGGTAAAAATTTCTAAAACTTGGAAAACTGTACAGAGATAAAAATTTGTGAAATATTTACAACATAAACATAAATGTACAAACATACCAAATTAGAATTAAAAATTGATTTGTATCCTTATTTTTGATGAACAGCATTTCATGAATATTTCCTTATTCAATATTCTTCAAAAACCTGATTTTAATGACCATGTGAAGGACATTTTGGTGATTTCTAAAATCTTACTATTATATGTATAGAAAATCCTCAGTCAATCTGCATATTCTGTATTTGTGAATTTAACCTACTTATAAAACCATTTGTAAACCCAAAATCAATATTTGTAGCACTTTTCCATTTTGAGGACATATGCAGAATGGTGAAACACTTGTCACTTGATAGGCACATTCCTAGCTGAGGTGGAACAAGGTGATGCTTTGCCTTCTTATTTCAGTTCTCATATTATAAATAAATATCCTTATTTAGTGCCACATTTTTTACATGTTAGGGTATTTGTTGTTGATTTTGCTGTTTAAAGGACCCCCCAAATACACTACTGTCTCATATACATAAGCATAGTGTATATAAGCTATGATGTGGCTTATGGATAAAATACGTGTTTCAGATAAACTTCATTCAGGCATGACTCATAGAGCTGTTGGTTGTGAGTTCAATCTTAATGAATCAACAATATGTATGGTTGATTAAACAAACATTAAACAGAAATACACTTAAAACATGCTTATGTATTGACTGGTTGATGTAAATGTGATTAGAGGCCTGCAGAAAGCTAACTCTTAAAGAGAAATCCCTAGAAGTAAAATTATTGGGTAAAATATACGACAATATGTTTTGATAAAATTTTTTTCTGTCACTTACTCAAGAGATAAGACTTCAATGTTGTATATATTACTTTTCTTATATTAACAACTAAGATTTTCTAGGATTTGGGGCTGGAACTGTAGCTCAGCAGTAGAGTGCTCGCCTAGCACGTGTGAGACACTGGGCTTGATCCTCAGCATCACATAAAAATAAATAAATAAATAAAATAAAGGTATTGTGTTAATCTGCAACTAAAAAAAAAATTAAAAAAGAGATTTTCTAGGATTAACATCTTTTTCTTTTCTCTCATCTAAAAAAATTTGGTCTCTTATTTCAGGACAGATTGGGAAGAAGTATTTTTTAAAATTGCAGTTTTGAATTATTAGTAAGCACTTATAACAGTTAAGGGCTTTAAAATGGTTATCTTTGCTCTGAAGAGTGAGTTTTAGTGATTAGTGCCATTGAAATTAGCTAATTTAAAAGCAACTATAGTGCCTTAAATTTAGCCTTAAGAAGAAAAAGAAGGCTGGTGTTTGGTGAATTCTGACAACCTCAGCCCCACCAGAAACCAGGAGAATGAAAAACTCAACTGCCCTAATTTCATATACTCTTGAGTCTGACCTTACAGTCTAAGTTCAAAAGGCTTTGAGATATACTACGAAGTGTCAGTGAAGTACTCATACTGTCTAAAACTGCTCACGGAAGTTTATGAACATCCCAGCCAAGAACAGTAGGCAGGAAACTTCCTCTTCATGTTCTTATCAACACTGCTCAGATGGGATGACAGAATGTAGTTCAGTTAAGTGACCTGTCTTACTGAGCTAACATGCTCTTTAGGAAATACCTAGCATACTGTCTTGAGGCTAATCCCTATCAAGTGTCACATCATGGGTATAAATCAAAACATCAAATATTCTATTGTTCAATGTTTTTTCAGACTTTGTTTTTTACCTGTTATATTATCCTCAGTATTTTCTTCACTTGATATGCTGCAGTCTATCTCTGAAGATTTTGAATACAAGGAGCTCTTATTTTTCATTAGGATATCTTCATCACCATTTATTTCCATATTTAAAGATCCATTTTCACAACTGTTCAGTTCCATTTGCCTAAAATTTTTTTTATAAAGAAAAAAAAATAAAAAGTCTAGTGATTTAGTAATAGGTTGCCAGGTAGATGCTAACTCTGAGGGATGAGGGAAGGGTTCACAATCATTAAATTTTAAACACTGATTTAAACAATTGTTAAACTAAGCCAAGCCTCTTAGCCTCCCACAGACATCAAGACAAGTATATGTGGTGGGAGCAGACCTGTCTAATGGTTCTTCTTGTACCCTGAAGTGACCCTTTCTGATCCCTACCAGCATTAGGAAATAGTCATTGACAGCCCTCTGGTTTCCATTCAGCTTTCTCCAGGTGCCACATTGAACACTTTTTGACCTTCTTCAACTCCCTGCTGGGAGGCTTTTTCTCAACACCACTAGCCACTTCTAAATGTTTGCTTAGCAGTTATTGTCTAGAAGCCATATGTTGGGGTCTCCCTGCAACCTATATCTCAGAAAAAAAAACAAAATCCAAGGAGAACCCAAACACATCTTGAGGGATCTGTCACATTTTAGAATTACCTATTCAACAGTCAAATGACATAACTGATTCTGTTAAAGGCACAACACAACATCTTATTATAGGGAATTATACTTAGCCGAATTAGAGATTAGGACAAAAATATTTTCTTCCAATAAAAATAAGGGGAGAAGGATCCAAGCTATATGATAACTCTAGGAAAAGCATTTATTATTTTCTAAAAACCACTATTTCAATCTAGAATTCAAAATATGGGAGTAGATGTTTCTAGCAGAAAAATTTAGAAAAACGGAAACAACCAAATTGAGAATAATCCTTGTAATAAAGAAGCAAACAATAGTAAATAATGATTCACTATTAAGCAATAATTTGGAAGGATAAATATCTCGATTGCGTCAATACATGGGAATGCCTATACAACATAAGTAAATAGAAATCCAGTGACTATGTAAATGTGTACCTTTTTGTTGTGCTGAGGATGAACCCAAGTTCTCATGCATGCTAGACAAGTTGAGTGCTGTACTGCTGAGCCACATCTACAGCTCAGCATTTACTTTAAAAAAGAAATTTTTTTTAATTGAAAGAGTATTTAGAAGAACAGAAATAGTTTAGATTTTGGTACTAAGTGAAGTTTTCAACCTATACAGTTACTCAAGGTTTTTTATTTCTAAACAACACAGAATAACACTCAGTGTTTCTGGATAAAAGTACACTTAAGTCAATATTTAACTCCTCTATAAAAGAAGATCCATCCTTTGGTAATTCCAGAAAGATTAAAAAGTTACAGGATATGATGGGTGAGATCCATATCCTAAAGCAAATACCAACACTTTCCTTTAGTGCTGAAGGTCTGCACTACTTCAGGCTCACTCAAAAAAGGAAAGACAGATATTGTTTCCTTCTGGTACATCTCAAATTACAAGAAAAACCACCATAAAAATCAAAATATCATTCACTTTTTTTAAACAAAGAATAACAATAGCTGTAGGTTTTTTGAAAGAAGAAAAAAATGTTATATACCTTTCCAATGAGTTATGAATTGGTACAACCGGATGTTTCATCTTTAAAAGAAGAAAAGAAATAAAGTTTACTTCCAATGAGACATTATTTATTATTCTTTTTTTTTTAAAGAGAGAGAGAGAGAGAGAGAAGAGAGAGAGAGAGAGAATTTTTTTTAATATTTATTTTTCAGTTTTTGGTGGACACAACATCTTTATTTTATTTTTTATGTGGTGCTGAGGATCGAACCCAGCGCCCCGCGCATGCCAGGCAAGAGCATTACCGCTTGAGCCACATCCCCAGCCCCATTATTTATAATTCTACAACACATGAAAGTGGTAAATATAACCATAATATATTACTGTCCCACCCCATCAGAAATAATTTTAGGTCTTCTTAAAATGGAGTCATAGATCCCAACTAGCCCAACTTTTAAATCCAACAGGGGTACCCAAATTTCTAAGGAAAATAAAGGTGGCCTTTTTCAAAGTCCTAATTATCAGAGCCAAAGTCCTGGTGAATGGCTTTCTTTGAAATTTTAGTTATGCTAATTGAATGTTAATAGACAGCAAACTCTGGCAAAGTATTGCTACAACATTGAAGGAAGGAAGGTAAACACCATGCAGTTCCTGTCCTTTTTAAGCTAGCTTCACTAAAATAGGGAGATGTGAGAAAGGAGGAATCCTTAGCACAACCCAGGAATTCCAGGAAGATGAATAGGAGCTACTATGGGAAAGAGCCAAGATGGGCATTCTTGGCAGCGTAAAGGGGTGAGGGTGATGACAGACAATATATTCATGCCAGGAAATGTTAGGAAAAGAGGCTGGTGATGTGGCAAGGGGCTAGGAAGTTTTATCTTTAATCCAAAGGCAATGAGGGAGTCACTGAAAGGTTTAGGTAAAGCAGCCCAATTTATACTGCATTAATAGAAATCCTGTCAGCTGACTGGAAGAGCCAGGCTAAAGATAGTAAGAAGGCCACCAAAATTCTAGGCAAGACTCATTTACATGGGCGTTGGAGAGAAAGGACTAGATTAGAGATATCTGTGCACAGGTGGTCAGACTGCCAAAATAACTTCTAGATATGGGAGACTGAGAAGATAAAAAAGTGGAAATAAAATAGTCCTCTAAAAAGTCTTTATCATTCACCAAAGGATGTTACTTTACAACTTTTCATTGTACTCTGTTGTAGCCAAACTGAACTAGACTTTTACCTTGCTGGATTTGAGCATGGCCAGTTGTGGTGATCCTGGAGGAGTGCGATAAAGAAGTTCAGAGGTGAAGGCTGCATTTGCGATCTGCATGCATTCTTCCAAGGTCTTCAGAAAAGTATTGCAGGTTGATTTCAGCAGAGTTCCCACATCAATTCCCTCCTACAAAATGACCAAAGTGAAAGACTCTTTTGTCTTGCCAAGAAAGACCAAGTCCCATTGTGTTATGCCTTTACAGGTTTTTATCCACAAAATAATAATAATGCACCCACCTATTTTGCTGAACAAATATGTATATCAGTTATTTAAAAAATATTTTGAGCTATCCCAATTTATCTATTTACCATGCACAGGCCTCATGTTCTAATCTGACCCTTCACACTCATCCACTGTTCCATCTAAAGGCAATAACTTCTTTCTGCTCAGTAACATTAGAAGAGCGCTGTGCCAGCTGTTGAGCAAAGAACTTCTGTGGAGCTTCCAGGAAAACACACAACACCTGCTTTCAGTATGGAAGAATCCACAAGGTTTCAGCAATTAGAATTCCTTTAAAAACCTAATACATTTTTTCTTCTGAGTTACTTTATTTGTTCAGTGTACAGTTTATTTATTCAGGGCATTTTTCTTCTGGATATTGATATTAGTAGGTTGTTCTGGAAAATGAGGACACACTCTAACTGGAGAATTAGAAGACCACATCTTAGTGGTCTCTATATATTTTTCTCACCTTTGTATGTCTAATAAGCTCCCAGGTACTCTTGGTTAACGGATGATACTGTTCATAAACAAGTTCCCACAGCATTTCTATAAGCACTTTCTTTCTGGAATTAAAGATTGCTACATTCACATTTTCCCTTCTCTGTAAACCAAGGCTTCTCTACTCAGCACCAATGATATTATGGGCTGGCTAATTTGGGGGGGCCTGTGTATGCAAGGGCAGAGCATAGCCCTCCTGCCCATTTAAAGATGTTAAACAGAATCCTTGGTGTCTACCCACTAGATGCCAGTGGTACTCATGACAACTAAAAATGTCTCCAGACATTACCAAATATTTCCTCAGAAACACAGCTGCTCTGAGTTGACAATCACTGCTCTAAATCACAAACTTTACAAGAACAGGACTAAAATGGTTTTTGGTCCTCACTTTCCCCATTCATCTATACACAACAGGGAGCTGATTAATGAATGAGAGAGACCAAAAGGAAGTGAATCAAAGTGAGTTAAATCACCTTTATTAGAAAGACCTCAAAGCATTTATTACTAGTAGCATGGTGTTCTACTACCTTAAAAAAAATGAATTAAAACCACTAAATAACCTGCAGATTCTTCATGTTGTAGACATCAGTTGTCAGATTATAACTTGAGGGCAAGCAAAGAAGCTCTCCAGTTTATGTAAGCATTTTAATAGTTTAACACAAGAGAAATTCTTAATATGGTTCAGGGAGAGTGACAACTTTATTAATAAATGTTACAAAATTCAATTCTTGCTAATGTTGGAGAGAAACTCTGTCTCCATCTATGAAAGCACTGGTCTATTCCAAATCACAATATTTACTATGATATGTAAAATCCTGTCACTGTCACCAAAGATGACATATACGCACTGCTGACAGACACTATTGTAACATCTTAGTAGCCACAACTACAAAATGGTTCTGCAAGACATGTAAGATTCTATTTTTATAAAGGATGCAAAGTGGGGCAGGGCATGGTGGCAAATGCCTGTAATCCCAGCCACATGGGAGGTTGAGGCAGAAGGATTGTCAAGTCCGAGGCCAGTCTGAGCACTTAGCAAGACCCTGTCTTAAAATAATAAAAAGGACCAAGGGTGTGGCTGAGTGATAGAGGACCCCTGAGTTCAATCCCTAGTAGCAAAAGACAAAACAACAACAAAGTGATGTAAACTAGGGAGAAACACACTTTGGTATGTCAGTACTGAAGGTAAAGTTCCAAATGTTATCAATTAATTAATCCTGAATAAATTCCAGTAAGAAAAACTGTATGGTTCCATATGCTACAATACACATTTCTATGGTGAATTATGCTTTTTCTTCTAAAATAGTAAATATCAAGATAGTCAGGAATTACATGAAAATAAATATCACCTGTAAGCAAAGTGGTGCTATTTTTCATGTATATATACTATCAATAATATTACTAATATAATATTTTACCTCAGAATTAGAAACACCAGTTGTGGTCACTTCTTTTGTTTTATCTACTTGCTGAACAAGGAGGTCACAGTAGAGTCTTAGTTCCGACATTTTCGTTTTCAAGTTTTCAGTATTCTCAGCAAATTCTAAATAATGAAATAATGATAATGTAGTTATCAGAATGAATAACCAATTTCCTAGTTAGTATCCTGCACAGAAGTGGAATATATAATCTGTATCCTAAGTCAGAGGTATATGGTATGAATTACAATGTGATAGGTAAAGATTGAGGAGCAAGAAAAACAGAAAAAGGACACATCCAGCCTTTCAAAGTAATATACATTATTACTCCAGTCACATTAAATAATCACCGGCACATAGAGGGGAAAACATTCTGCCTGACCTACCCAGGTCTGTACAGGAAGCAGAGTCACTGTTCAGAGTTTTGGTCTCAGTTCTGTCATCTAGTTGGTGTTCTCCTTCTCTGTAAGATGGGGTCAGAGCAGTCTACCTGCTATTGCACCGCTCTGCTCATATCTGGGAGACAATGTTTTGTAATGTCCAATTACCACCAAGAACACTGCTTATTATTCTGGCTGAGGACTGGTTCACCTGTCCTGTCAACATTAATCACAATCAGCCATTATCAGCAAGGCACTCCAGACACCCTGGCACTGAGGGCTCAGATAAAATTACTACCACCTCTCTTCCCATTCCATGAAAATGCTGCACATTACCACATGCTGAGTCAAAGTTGACAGTCTCTATAAATTAGCATTAAAAATAACCAATAAAGAGATAATTTTACTAGGTCTACATGAAGAGTGAGACACATTTGCTGCTACTGTCATCAGAAACATTGCCTGATACACTTCTTTCCATCCTCTCCCTGCAAGTCACTCTCTTCAGTTGTACATACATGACTACAGGGATGGAAAAGCAGCAGCCAGACTTATGCAGTAAGCCCTGATACTCCTGCCCCTATACAAAGAGAAAGTTGTCCCATGGTTCTCAGGAGGCCCAATCGTGTCAAGTTAATGAGTATGAGTAACAGTAATCTCACAATTAAGTATCCATGCCACCTCAGGGAGAGGTAGGAGACAGCAGAGCATTACTATTAGAAAATACCCTAAGCCAAAGCTTCTCTGGCTCAGCTACTCTTCACTGAAGGTCAACTTTGTGCCTGGTTGGACCCTATCTCATTTCATATCATGAATCCTCACAGATTAAGGTAGGTATGACCTCTTTTTAAAAAAAAAAAAAATTTAGTTGTAGATAGACACAATACCTTTATTTTTTATTTATTTTTATGTGGTGCTCAGGATGGAACTCAGTGCCTCACACATGCAAGGCAAGAGCTCTGCCGCTGAGCCACAACTCCAGCACCAGTAATGACCTCTTTTTAAACAGTAAGGTAACTGAGGCTCAGAAAGGTTAAGTGATCATGCCAAAGTTACATAGTCAACAGACTAAAAAGCCAGCACACCCCAGTAATCCCAGTGGCCCAGGAGGCTGAGGCAGGAGGATCCAAAGTTCAAAGCCCCCTCAGCAAAAGTGAGGTGTTAAGCAACTCAGAGACCCCCTCTCTAATAAAATACAAAATAGGGCTGGGGATGTGGCTCAGTATCAAGTGCCCCTGAGTTCAATCACTGGTACTGCCTCCCCACAGCCCCTGCACACACACACACACAGAGAAAGAAAAAGAAACACTACAAAGCCATCATTTCAATGTAGTTCTGTCTGACTTGAAAGCCAGCACTCTTTCACATGCTAAGAAAGAAGAGTTAGATATGGACTCTGATTTAAGTTCCACTGAGATACACAGCATTTAAATGATACAAAAAGGTGCCTATGTGGTCAGAGGCAAGATAAATAATAAAAGGAACCCAGAGATGCCAGTGGGTGATTCCCAAGGTTCCCACACTAAAGAACAATCAATACTTGCCTTTCTCCTTCTGGGTCCTACTGTCTGTCAGGCAAGCCTTGGCTGACCCCAGGGCCACCAGCCACCGCTGTCTCTCAGCTACACTTCTGGCCTTCAAGTAGAAATACTGTTCCCCAGGTATTATCAGGTCCATGCGGGTATTATCTACAGAATGAACTGGGAGTAAGGCAGAAGAAAGTCAGAGACCTAGAGAGGACAACTGTCTAGGTAGCCTCTACCCTATCCAACTTTTTTTAAATTTTTGAATCATCTATTTTAATTTTGGGGTTAAATTGATCATTTATCAGACTAGAGAACAAATCTTCCTTTTGGTTTATATAAAGTACATTACTTTGGGCCCAAAAGACTCAAATGCTAGAGTTCAGATGTGTTTTGTCTCCTAAGGGTTCATGTATTGGAACCCGAGTCCCCAGTATGATGATATTAAGAAATGGCAGAACCTGTGAGAAGTGGAGCCTAATCAAAAGTCACTGGGAGAACTACCCTCAGAAGAAATTAATCTACTTCTCATGATACCCTGGTAAGTAACTGTAGGAGGGCTGTTATAAAAGTACAAAACCGGCTCCTCCCCAATCTCTCTGGCTTCCCATCTCATCATTTGATCTCTCCCTCTTGTACAAGATCCTACCACAATGTGATGCAGTTCAGGGAGCCCTCGCCATACCAGGATGACACTTTTTGGACTTTCAGTCCCCAAAACTGTTAGCTAAATAAATCTCTTTTCTTTATATATTCCCAGTCTTGGGCATTTTGTTAAAAGTCACATAAAACAAATTAATAAACATGCCAATGAGCAAGGGTATGTTCTTTATATCCTTGGATTTATTGAGAAGCAATCAAGAACACAATTTTTTTTTGTCTTCTACTTCCCTTGACAAGTCAGACCAACGAAAAAAACGTTATAAGACTTCCTCTAGAGGCTGGGTATGGTGGCACACTTTGTAGTCCCAGCTACTTGGGAGGCTGATGCAGGAAGATACCAAGTTCAGGGCCAGTCTGGGCAACTTAGTGAAGTTCTATCTCAAAATAAAAAGGGCTGGGGATGTAGCTCCACGACAGAGCCCATACCACTGGGTTCAATCCTCAATATCTCTCTCTCTCTCTCTCTCTCTCTCTCTCTCTCACACACACACACACACACACACACACACACACACACACGATTCCTGCAGAAACTTTTAGAAGAAGAAATACAAACCATATTCTCCAGCCTTCCTCCCCAATTCTTATCTGTTTTTCTTTTGAGCTACATGTGCTCATCATGTCTCAAGATTCCAAAACCAAGAAGTAAAGACTATATGCAGGTCTATAAGATATTTGCTTGTTTTGAGTGCTAAGCATAGACTGGGCATGGGTGTGCATGCATGCACATGTATGTGTTTATCCATCCTAATTTAAACACAGAAATGTTTGATACTTCAGGAAAATGACTTAAGCAAGCTTTGCAAATAGCTATTGGCCCAAGGTGGGCAGGTGACTAAAGAATGATTGCTAGCTGATTTCTTTGTTCTCATTTATTGTGACCACCTCTTAACCAATTTCCTTGCAAGAGCTGCCTACAATTTTAAGTTGCATTTACAAGCCTTTCCTCTAGGACATAATACTACATAGCTTGGTCTTTACTGCAGGAGCAGCAGAGAAAGGAATGCAAAAGTTAATGCTGTATTTTTTTCTGGGAGACAACAAAACAAAACTAGCAAGCCACTTATTTCTCACCTTGAATTTCACAGACTGCCATTTGGATACTCCCTTTGCAACCTTTCCAGGCATCTTCAGGAGAATCATAATAGGATAATATTCCCCCACAGAGAAGGAACCATCGAGGCTGCCAACCTGAAAGCATAAGCAAGAGTACTATGGTAATTAATGCCTGCAATGTGAGGTGCCTATCTGACACAGAAAGTGGGGCCTAACATAAAATACCAGGTCTCAGTGGAAAAGAGCCTTTTATTGCAAGGGAAATTCTAAGAGAAGATTAGGAAAGACCTGTATGTTTGGTTTATTTTTGCAAAATTAAAAACAAAGGACCCCTGCTCTAGACATATAGTCACATGAGGCACAGAAGTTTGGAAAGTCAGTAAAAAAGTACAATGATGATTTTCTGGGTAATAGAATTTATAAGTGAGTTTTATTCTTTTTGTTTCCCTAATATAATACACCACAAGTAATGTTGAACTTTTTTTTTTTCCCCTAGTGCTGAAGATAGAAACCAAGGCCTTGTGCATGCCAGGCAAGTGCTCTCCCATACAGCAACACCACTAACCCCTTAGTAGATGACTTTTAACTTTTCTAAAACAAATATTATTGTGCCCTGAACATTATTGTTATCACTCTCTTCTCTTCTGATTAAGAAAAAAAACATCTGAAACTTAGAAATAAGACAAGGAAGATAAGGATGCCCTTTCAACAAAGATCATACAGTATGTGGACCAGTAAGCCTGCCTTAAGTCTTAAAATTAGAAAAAGTAACTTCATTGAACTTAACTATTTAGTATTGATCCATCAAAACAGACTGATCTTAAAATATTCAAGTTTTAACTCCAATCATGTCAATTTTGAAGAATTTAGGGACATTTCATCTTGTCCTCTTCCACACCTTATATCCAATCAAGTAAAATTTATTTGTGAATTCTGAAATGGTTCTTCATAAAAATGTCATTCCTATCTCTGCATAAGTCTTTCAGGTCTCTTTGCTTGGGCATAGATATTTTTCCTCTCTCTGAAATGCCATAGCCCTTTAGGGATATACTTCTCTCATGGGACTGTGCTGTGGCTGTGGCAGCCAGAGAAAAGCCCCAGGGCCTGCACAGGTATAGTCATCTGATGGGCACTTGGGAATTGCATCATTTGAACCCAATGGGAAAGACACCAGCTGAGGTCCAAATGAAATCTGTTTATTATATTATAAACAGGGGATTACCATACTTCCTGGAGCATCCCTGGCCTAAGATTATGATATAAGGAAGCTATAATTCTGATTGGAAGGCTGATTGGTCAGTACTAAGTCCAAGTGGAAGAGTCAGATTGGCAGGCAAGATGTTTCATTCACTACTTCCTTCATCAGAGTCTGCTTTTCTAGGAACAAGGATACTCAGGTCTGCCAGGTACCATGTCTCTCACTTCCTTAATCAAAACTAAATAAACATTAATTTTCAACATCTACTCTCCGATAATATCTGGACTGAAATATCCTACCACCCAACCCTTTCTCCCAAAAGATAGTCTTTTCTAAAGATTATTTGCCTTTCTTGTCACATTTTATATTGAGGACTTCATTCCCAGGGATCTAGAACCTTTACTGGATGTCAAAAACCATTTGGCCTTAAAATTTCCATACTGATCTAAGTCAGTTCTTGCAAACCTTTTGGATGAATATGTACATTTTTATTTCAGAAAATGCTGCTTCTTTAACTTGGCTTCAAATTCAACAGAAACTTAAACCTAAAGGCTACCATTTTGGCACAGACAATGCAACCTAGGAAACCCAATCCATCATCAGATTATGTACTTATGCAGAGAGCTAGCTGCCCTGGAATCAGATATTATTGATGTTTTAGCTCTGTGCAAGAGAGTCTGATTATTTATGCCTTAGACTACCCTCCCCTCACTGAAAAAGAACCAATTTCTGAGAACCTGTTAAATGGTAGAGATCTTCTAAATCACCTAATCCAACCAGCTCATTTATAAAGAAATCTAACAGGTTACCCAGTATAGTATACTGCAGAGCCAGGAAGAAAACTGTCTACACTGCCCCTTCTGGCACAAAAGCTCCCTGACCTTGGCTCCCCATTCGCAGAAAGCTACCCTGGTATAGAACCAGAGCATCTGTAGAGTATCTTTTCCATTTACAGCTCAATTCTCATGTCTTTGGCTGGTGTGAATGCTCTCCAAATCTACCACACCTTTTGTGTAGAAGGCTTTCAGAGCATACTCAATTACTATTTTATGTTTGTTTTGTTTTCAGTGCTGGGAATTGAAGTCACAGCCACCTCATGCTAGGCAAGTACTTTACCAATGAACTACACTTTCAGCCCCTCAACTACTATATTTTATCAAACTTTCTCTGAATTAGCATTTTCCAGAGGATGTATATGTAAATACATATAAACAGATTTATTATGAAATACTGGCTCATAAACAACTTTGGGTTAAGTCCTGAAACATTTGGGTTAAGACCTAAACATTTGGGTTAAGACCTTCAGCAAGCTAGAGACCCAGAAGAGCCAATGTTTTGGTTCCAATGAAGTCCAAGGTCCCAGTTCAAGGCAAATGGGCAGAAGGAGTTTCCTTTTTTATTTGTTCTAGTCTGCAACTAACTGGATGAGGCCCATCAACTTTAAAGGGCAATCTATTTTACTTAAGTCTATTAAATCAAATGTTCATCTCAATGTCTGGGCACCTGTGGTCCAGTCAAATAGACAAATAAAATTAACAATCACATTACCAATTTTAAGATATACCATTATTTCACGTAATATGAAAGAAAAAAAGCCCTGCCAATTAAACAATGACAATACTGATCATGAGATGCATTAGTATTTCAGTTGTTGAAATGTGAGGGGAAAGGTATCATAAAAATGAAAAAAAAAATGTATTAAACTCAAACCTGAAGAATGCTAAATGGCCTCCCCTCCTACATAAAACACAGCTGCAGTAAGTTTTTAAAGTAGCTAGTAAACTATAATAGTAACTGAAACAAGACCTTCCTTATAACAGGTTCTGTATTTATCTAGGGCAAGTTATAATTATACAAGGGGAAGTTCAATATATTTTATTCTGTAGGTTGGAACTACAGAAACTGTGACCAAGAAAACACTTTCTGCATAAAGTTTCTGGAGTTTCAAAAGGCACATAAAGAGACCACAAAAGTCTCATTCTCATTAGACAAGATTTAAATGTAGAGTGATGGAGAGTACAGATTACTACTGAGACAGCTTTTTCGTAATGTGCTATACTGACAAACTGGAATTCAGCCCAGCAATGACAAAAGAGGAGAAAAAAGGGCATGGATGATAAAGAGGACATTAATCTACTTCTTATTTTAAATTTATCTGCAGTTACCTTTAAAATGATAAAATATTAAGGTGATAAATGGGCAGATGAAAACCAGATCCAGTCCCTGCTCCCTTGGATTATCACTGGACTAATCTTATTCAATTCCCACTCTTTTTTGCTGTCCTCTATTAAAAGATGGAATGTGGCTGGGCATGCTGGCATGCCTGTAATCCCTCAGGAGGCTGAGGCAGGAGGATCTCAAAGTCAAAGCCAGCCTCAGCAATTTAGCAAGGTCCTAAACAATTTGGTAAGATTCTGTCTCTAAGTAATAGGTAAAAAGGGTTAGGGATGTGGCTCAGTGGTTAAGCACCCCTGGCTTCAATCTCCATTACCAAAATAAAAGATGGAATGTGGTATCAGTCAAACCTCCTGCTTGGAAGGATTAGATCATCAATGAGCAGAAAGACATCATGAGCAGAAAGAAACATCAATGAGCAGAAAGAAACACCAATAAGCAGAAAGAAACACCAATGAGCAGAAAGAGTTTGGATCATATCAACTACCACTGCCAGATATGGCATAAAGGAAAAATAAGAATATTTAAATACTGATTTCATTCACTTTTTATTATTCTGGATTGTTTCACTATAGAAAGTATACATGACATTTACTTTTGGCAATTCAACATCCATCCAGTATATTTCTATTGCTAAAAACCTCCTTCTCCACACTTCATCCATGTAGTCTGGGGTAGGGCTGACCAACTCCAACCAGTCCTCAAGGACACTTCCAGAATGGGCAACCAGAAATTTACTTGGACTGGGGAAAGACAGAAAGATCTAGAGACTGTCTCTTTTTTACTTTTATCTTAAGGATGTTTGCCTGGAGCTGCTGGCAGTCATTTTGTCATCACTTGAGACCTAAACATGATTTGCACATAAAGGGAAAAGGGAATTAAGGGATTTGAGGGACAGAGGGTAAAGAGGGCAAATCTGGATGACATGATTGAGCCCCTCAATTACACTGTGTTGTGTATTATGTTATGTAAGATACTCTTTGGGACTTTTCAGTTAAGTGAGCCAATAAATGCCCCTTTTTATTTTAAGCCTGTCTGAATTGGGGGTTTTCATCAAGCAAAAGAATTCCAAATTATCATATAATCATCTCACTACATATACAAAAACACTTGACAAAAAGTAACAAAACCTCTTTTCTTAATAAAAACACTCAATATACTAGGTAGAGAAGGGAATTTTCTCAGTCTCAGCATCTACCAAAAAAAGCCACAGCTAACATACAATATGCCGAAAGAGATGAAAAATCTCCTAAGATTAAAAATAAGACAAGGATGTTTGCTCTCAACACTTCTATCAAACTCTGTACTAGAGATTGTAGCCAGGGCAAGTAGGCAAGAAAAATGAAATAAAAGGCATACATCCAAATTGGAAAGGATGAAGCAAATCTAGCTCTATTCAGACATTCTTTTATAAATTTAAAACAAAAATAAACTCATGCAATCCACTAAAAACAAAACCATTAGAACAAATGAGTTCAGCAAGATGCTACATACAAATATCAATTTTACTTCTACATAGTTGCCATGAATAATCTGAAAATTAAATTTAATAAAACACATCTACTCACAGTACCATTAAAAAGAATAAACTACTCAGAAAAGAATTAACAAAAATGCAAAATATAAATACAGCCTCAAACATTATTTAAGAAATTTAGAAATATCTGAAGATCATTATTCCAAAACTGCTACACGCTTATTCTTTTCTCACATAGTGCAAATATCTTTCTACAATACCGCAAGCAAATATTAGAGACACAGT